AACTAGACATAACGCGCATTTCTAGTTAAAATTATAGCTCTATCACAGGACATCCCCAAACATTGAATTTGGGTAAACAACGTTTATTTTAACGCTGACAACCGTCAACCAGCGGCTGGTGTAACATAATTACCGCTGGTCAGCCGCCCCTGAGAATGAACCGCATGAACTGGAATTAACTGAGTTGTAGTGGAACTGTAATGACTGTAATGCTATGGAATGCACCGGTTAGGCTGCGGCCACACGAACCTTTGTACAGCCTTATGGACATCGGCACATCAAGCTTTATACTGTGGCATCGTTTGCAGTTGTAACAGGTGTGAGTTTTCAAATATTATGACGTGCTAGCGCATGATCTCAGGCTGTTCTAGTTTGATGTCAAATTATTGGTATAATATCAGTAAATAAGTCAGATAATAGGTAAAAATATTGCCCCTAATATTGGATACGAAAGGCGAACTTGATTGCTATACAGTATTCTTTCCCAATCAACCTTTGGGCCAAGAAGTGTTGCAACCCAGACGATAAACAAGGAAGAAGTAGGTACTTACTTACTTTCGAATTGTCTTAATCTGCACTATTACCTATTTCTCTGTTCAGTTCACACTAATTCGGTCATCATTAGCATCTTTATTTAACCTGATTGCCAGAAAAATTATACGATAGTTAAATTGAGATAGAGTCGATCTTTATTAATGGACTATGCGCCTTGTGTAAAGGAAATTACAGACACTATTTGCCTGCATCTTATATGTAGCTTATTTATACGCTTCTTAAATACCATCCTAATGGGATTCGTATGAGTATGTATGTAACTATAGCAATAATTCCAATACGCAGCAAATACGAAAGTATTTCCTGTTACGAATACTCGTACTATCTCATATTTCATATTTTCCTTTCATTAGTTCAAACGGACGTAACCTAATTCGAAAAATAAATGTTATTAATTTGTTGTTAGACTTAAGGACTTCCTGATTAATAGACGTATCTATGACTATGTGTATTTTGCTTATTGGCTTATCTCAATAACCATACCAATTTGTGTCATAAATATCTACGATTTATTAATTATACACTAGCTTCCAGGAAATCATTATAGTTATCTGAATATTTACGGGAAAACAAATACTGTTTATTTGTAACATAAAATATCACTTAGAAAGAGCGAAATCGTGCGCCGTGAAAAATCTTATCGATGATTTTAGACGACAAAATGTATGGGTTTATCACGTAAAATCGATAAAATGGCGTGATAAACGCTTATCGCCGCGCGCATCCTAGCCCTAATGGCTTCTATTTTTATAGTATAGTGGGTATACCTTGATCCTCAACCGAGGAGCCATAGTTAAAGTAAGATGCAATGTTGCCATTGTTTCAATATAGCGGTCTGTTTCCTTACCAGATGGAGAACTTGGACGGGACTTGCTTCACACAAAATCGATACCGGCAATGAGTTACCGATTAGGCAGCGTGCCAGGAGATGCCGTTCGTGAAAAAAGTTGAGGACATGATTGAGAAGATGAAGAAGAATAATGGAACTTTTAATGGACTCATGCTGTTGGCCCAAGTAGCCTAGGCACTATAGCGGAAGGTCGAAGGCACTTAGCCTGCTAGCAATCACGTAATGACCAGTTTGGACTAGTTCGTTTGGGCCAATGATGGTTGAAAAGCATTACAGAGTCGCCAGAAAATTGAAAAGAAAGACATTTGTCAGATACTGGTTGAGATTTTGCGGTTATGTAGCTTTTACAACAGAAAACATAAGGTTTATTTCGAGGGAAGAAGAAAGCACGGACATTACATTAGGCTATACCGGGGTATCTAAAATAGCCATTTTGTAACCAAAATGTACTCTTTCCTAAAAAATCGTATTACTGAAAGTACAAAACATTTCTAATTCGCGATTCGACCTTAAATCTGTTTTACTTTCATACAGGGACAATAATTATAGTTTGCGCATCATTTAAATGATTAACAAAATGACAAACTCTGTTCATTCAGGATTTCAGGTACAATAATATGCGCAATTCAATAAATGAAGAGCCTAATGATATGAAATTATTTGGAATTTTAATTAAATGATCAAACGAACTTACCAAGTGAAGTTCGATCTAAATTATCCTGTTTTCGCCGAAGAGATTTATTTTACCATGTAGTACCCCTGTACGACAAGCCAATCCGCACACAATATTCAGCGTAGTAGTAGTAAAAAAATCAAAAGAGCGGGCAACCCCACCCCTACCACGCTGTGGGCTCGGTGTCCGAGCGGTCTCATTATATTTAGAGAAGAGATGACATTGACGTTTACCTCCAGGGAAGAAGATATAGAAATCTTCGGGTTGGGAGGGACCTTAAATCTCTTCGGCGAAAACAGGATAATTTAGATCGAACTTCACTTGGTAAGTTCGTTTGATCATTCAATAAAAAATGGCTACTGGTTAACATCGCGCGTTAACTTGGAGCTAAAAATGGGTCAAAGTTACGCGTCGTGTCACAACGCTTATAATAAAAATGTACGAGCACTTGCACAAAATAGTTGTTACAACCAACCTTGTGTTGGGTCTAATTCTCGTCACTACACTGCACAACTTAAAATAATTACGTTTTTTGTCGGTAAAAACGTCCTGGTGACGTCACTTAAGCATTTTTCTTATACTGCGTGCGGTCGTTGCGCGTGCGCACAAAGGAATGAGACCGCTCGGACACCGAGCCCACAGCGTGGTAGGGGTGGGGTTGCCCGCTCTTTTGATTTTTTTACTACTACTACGCTGAATATTGTGTGCGGATTGGCTTGTCGTACAGGGGTACTACATGGTAAAATAAATCTCGGAGGCGAAAGCAGGATAATCAATATTAATCATTTGTTGAACTTCATTCATAAATAATGATATTATAATAACATTTCAGTGATAAATGACTGAATGAATTTACTTTTGCCACACCTGGATTATTTAGTTAGGATGAATAAATATACTATTCATTACTAATATAAATAAATTATTATTTACCTGGAACACTTACAAATAATACGAGCACGAGTTTGTTTACAACATAAATAAAACATGTTGTTGTAAGTCCCACGTTTGTTGTTACTGAATTGATTGTACAATTACCTGGAATATTTTTAACATAATGAATTTATATGACTAAAAAAAAAGTATACCTACGCAAACTCGAATAATGTAAAGTTTTGACACAGTTGATGTTAAACTTAATATCAGAGGAAAAAAAATCTATCGGATAAAATGTTAATTTTGTAGTTAATGTTTTGTCAAAGGTACAAGTAATGTAGGATGATAGATATTTTACAAAAGTCACGGAAGCTTGGAAAGCTCAACAAAGCTTAAGGACAAAAAATAGTAGGTAAGTTTCATTATAATTTAACTAGAATTCCCTTTTCTTTGTAAAGGAGACCTAAATTCACACATTCAATAGGTCAGTACAAATCATTCAGCTGAAAATATTTAACGTAAGTTCAAGACGATAAAGTCCAAATTCCTTTGACTTATCACGCTGGCTATCTATACAAACTATACGCCAAGTCCCTGTCCGTTGTCAATAGACGCTTGTCCTTAATGTCCGATATACACATCTAGCTGAATCACATAAATTTGTCAAATGATTAATGTCTCGGTCTCCGAGAGGCTTATCTGCCGCCGCAGGGTAATGCCGAAGGGAAACGAAAGCAGCCAGTCCATATTGAACGAACTATGTTTTTAACTATTAAATATGTTTTCATTACAACTAAAAAACGCTTGTTGCTAGACAAAGATATAGATACGCTCAAAGATTTCTACAATGACTGAACCTGTAGTCGTGTCTAGGTACTTCCTTTTGCGCAGTAAGCAGTGGGCAGAATTTAGATGAATAGAACGAAAATGATAAACAGAATTGTAAGCGCCACCTCCACGGCGGCGTAGCGTGCTAGAACCCTTGGTGTTCACCTGCGTACAATATCGTATAGGCAACGCTGCCCCTCCGTCGACCAGAGTTACATTATTTTGTATGTAAGCTGCAAGCAGGCGTACACCAAGCGTACAATGCCGCGTACGTGTCTAGTACTTATGCTACATGTTTTCGAACAAAAGTCCCTAAATAAAAACAGATTAAAAAAAGTACTTATCCTACGCCGCCGTGGACTGGCGCTCTGTAATCATGGTCTGAACCAAATGTTTTAAAGTTTAAAACGTTTGATACTTAACTGTACCGGTTTGTAAGAAAGCAACTGGCTGTTTTCTCTTGGCTGTACTACTATAACTGACCACCCTAATTAACTGCAGATACCAAACTTATTAATATCTGGCTCTATACACCGTCTGTAATGGACCTCGTTAATAGAATGGGGTATAATTCCCATAATGCTGGTTATTTACCTATGTGAAATATGTCCAAACAATGTTTTTACAGATTTATAAATGTACACTTGCACACTCGATGTAAACAATCCAAAAACAAAAAAAAAGATGTTTGTCTAAAACATTATGTGACATTTTGACAAAATTTTTATCAAGTTAAGTTGTTGTTTGCTTAATCTGGTATAGCTTGTTCACAAATGTAACCTAAAGCTAACCAGTGATGGTTGAAAAGCTTCTAAGGATAACTAGGTATTTTGGATCCCGAAATATATTTAGTGATAACAATCACATCCTTTAGTGAATAGATCGGCTGACTCAAGACATGGAGATAGACGCATGTTTTAACGTGGACTTTATTGGAAAAATGTAGGTAGGCCAGAACCGACAATCTGGTGATAATCACGTTTCCACGACCGCTTCTACACAACATTGGTCGATGTGGAAATCCTTGGGGAAGGCCTTTGTTCAACAGTGATCGTCATCCGGCTGAAATAAATAGTGGTAATATAGTCTGGTTATATAGTAAGGAAGGCGCTGACTGCAGGCCGTTACCAGCCGGTCATTATTGAAATCCTTGAGTGAGGCCTCTGTTCCTTGTTCAGCTGTGGGAATTCTTAAGCTGAAATGATGATGATGATGTACCTGTATATGGGTTTCCCTCCGGTGGCCTTCCCGGCGCGGAACCAGAGCACCATGTAAACGCGGTCCTCGTTTGTGTCGGGCGTGACGTCACACGGCAGCGACGCCGTGCGGCCCAGCACCGCGTCCACGTCCACTGTCGACACTGGAACAAGAAAAAGTATATTTTTATTGAGGTTCCGTAGTACCTGGGTACCAAATGGAGGGTCCTACGATGCTTCTGCTGGCCTGATAACTGCTTGCCTAACTAGGTAGTTAATTGAAAAAAGATAGAGATTCAGAAAGATAGAGATTGACAGTCAGGTCAGGTGACCTGACTGTCAATCTCTATCTTTTTTCAATTTTATGAAATGGCACTTAATGATAATGTCACCTGTAATACTCGTATACGAATGAGTATGTTGCACTGAAGGGGGTCTTTGAAGAATTGGAGGTCTATTATCGTGAGATGCGTCAAACTGAAATTGTATTAGAAACGTTGCTAAGGTTAAGAAGTATACCTACTCGTATCTATTATCTTTTATTTAATTCATGTAGACACTGTTTGACTTGGGGGTTTGTAAATAATTTAAAATGTATGCAAAAATTGGAAACAATTTACTATTTCTGCTAAATTCTATAGTTACGTTTGGCTTCCGCGAAACACCCTTCTGTGAAAGCCTGCTCTTCGTTGTAAATCTAATATCAATCTATCTGATACTACGAGTATTCTCAGACTAACAGAGTTGGTACTGGATAAAATAAATAATTCCATTTGAAACTGAAAATACTGCAAGCAAAATCTTTGATTCGTAAGTATTAAACTAATTATTCGAATTAATGTCGATTCGTATAAAATATTCTTTGCATTAGTAAACAAACTGGAGCCATTTCTCATTAAAACCAGATTGCAATCTTAGCGCAGAGGGTTAATTCTGGTTTAGCGAATTGTCGCTTCGCGCTTTGCCCGGGCCGTATCCATTTTGTCCAGCTGACTTCACGAATCGTAGCTAATGAGTAGCGGCCAATGTAGCGTCAGCAAAATGGTAATGTACGAGTATCTCATCACAGTTTACGAATCAAAAATAGGATAGTGTTAATTCTATGAAACATAATGCTTCAACCACACCAAAAGGCCAATAACAGGTCGCGCGGCTATGAGAGTAAGGGGTATAAAGTTTAATTTCCTGAAAGGAAAGTGATGAAGGTTTCAAGTATAGGGGGAGACGCATAAAATGTCAGAAGTACTCCTCTTTAACTCAGTGCAAAGTTAATAATGACAGACTAGAGTGTCACTATTTAGTAACTAATTAAATGAATTATTGCCCTAATGCTAACTTATCATACCACCTCACCGATTTAAATGAGATTTGGGAAAGATTTAGTGTTACTTGTTATTGATTTAGTGTCCCTTTTATAAGTGTATAAGGTGCACGCAATAATCCTTTTTGTGAAAGCAAAACTCACACAGGCGAAGCCAAGGGCAAAAGCTAGTAAATTGTATTACAACAAGCACAGTCGTCTGAATAATTCTCATTAATCCAGATTGCAATCTTTGTGTAGAAAGCTAATTCTGGTTCAGCAGATTGTAGTGTCACGCCTTCCACGGGCTGAGTCCGCATTGCCGGGCAGAGTCGACTTTACTCATCAAAGTCAGAAGTTAATTATAGTGGCGGGTAATACACACAATACAATAGAGCTGATGAGAATGTGGTATTATGGGTCAACGTTGATAGCGTATCGGAAAGTTACTTAAATATACATTATATCGATTGTAGGGATAATTATTAATTAATCGATGAGTCCCTCAATAACATAATTATTTGGACAATTTTGTGAAATGCCAGCAACTTCTAACATTTATACTTGTACAAATAATCGTTGAAAATCCTATATAAATAATCTATTACTTATGTTCTTTGTAAGACTAATTGCATCTAAGTTCAAAGATACATAAAATAAAAGCTATTAGACTTTGTCGTTTGAAATAAAATATTCACTCAGATGAAATATTCTGCAATAAGGCAAGCTTCATGCTTAATCTAAATTAGTAACATTAATGTTGTTTGCTTGCTATAATTATTATCAATACATAATGTATTTAACATGGATATCTAATGATTTACTGTGGAGATTAGATTATTCCCACGGCTATCTATTACACAATCCTAATTTGTGCTTACATCAATAATACGAAATGGTACATTATTATGGAGTACAGTTTTGGTAAATATCATGTCTGATAAATGAAGACGAATAGGTAGTTCAAATTGTCACCGTGAGTTACATAAATAAGAAACGGGTTACAGTTTTTGAAATCTGAAAATATGTATTGATCACGAAATTTAACCTTTGGCTGGGTTGCACCATGACCATCTTACTTTGAGTTTGACAAACGTCAAACGTCTGTCAAAATCCATACAATAAACGCCAGTTATCGTTATAGTTACCGTTAAAGTTGGATGGTACAACTCAGTCTAAGTTCATAAACTTTAGCTTTATGGTAGGTTACAATTTTTTTTTTGATGAAATTCGTAGTATAATTGTTAAATAAAACCCATGAAAAACCTAGCATAACCAAAATACTCGAATATACTGAACGTCAAATGCAAAATGATCCAAGCCCACAAAATCTGTTCCTAAACGTCGAGAAAATAAGAAAATGCTCAAACAAAGCTTAACAGTCTAAAGTAGCTCTACTAGAATCAATGAAAACCGTTTTCATGCCAATAACACGTTATTAAATGTATAAAACATCAAAATTGCTAACTCCTTGGCAGCAGTGTCTCGACTTGCATCGAAGACCATTTAAAACGGAATATGCCCAATATGGAATGGTATAGACTCACATTCGCTTAGTTTTCCGAACAATGCCCCAATATTACTGAGATGAGTGTCTATGAAATATAAAGAGCGTTTATGAAGAGAAGGAATAGCAGTATACAGGTTGTCATTAACACTTATATGAGAGAGAATTGTCTTCTATAGAGCATGATTTAGGCAAAAGCTTGGATGCATTAGGATGTTAGTACGTACGTAATGTATAGGTACTATCAACACTTGAATACCTATTTTCTAATGTTAAAGGATTCCGTACCAGAAGGGTTTTTACGATCCCCACTACAGCTGTTTGTCAAATTTTGATATATTTTAATTTCTAGTAACGTTACTTATCAATCTGTCAGTTATAGCCATAGGTCCCATTGCAAGAGTTGAGTCGATCAACACAGGCAAAGATTATCGCAAGACGCGTATTCTGACTGTTTTGTGTGTTCTCACTTCAAAATAATATTACATCAGTGTCAATATGTGTATGCCTCAACTTTCGTAGTGCGACAATAAAATAACGTAGGTACTTTTGTTTTGATCTCTCACATTACTCACTCTTAGCTCATCGTTAGAACTCACAGACTCGTGGACTATTTTTTCTGGAATTTATCTCGCGTTTTAAATTCGCGCCCCTAATGGCATGATTATTGTTTACGCCTGAAACTCATCTCCCTATCATGAATATAAATAGGTATAATATTAAAACAGTCCGTCTCAGCCGCGGTAATCCTCTTTCTTCGCGCGAGTGTCACCACGTTGCCCGAAGTAATGCGCACCATCACTCATACTTAGGAAGAATTTTCAATTTACTCGCCTCGTAATAGAGACGGATTACGTTGGCCCATTGCGCATGTGTAGTTTTATTATGCGCTTGAAGTAATGCTTATTTATTAACGGCCGCCACTTCACCTTGTTTAAGTATGAGGGGCTCTTTCTCCTCTGTTCGATTCCGAGGTAAGACATAATGGAAAAGTCGTAAAAACAAGCTCTACTGTGGTTCGTTTAGAATGTGGAGTAAGTATTTTTATGTTTAAGGCAGGTGACAAACTAGGGTCGGTACATTACATAGTCATGACAAATAGGATTTTGTGTGCTTTACCTATTTCATTCTCTTTTACGTATGATTCAATATCTACCTATTACGTTTATAGACACAAACCTATGAGTCTTGGCAATGGGAAATAGATTACTTTATGACGCAAAAATAAATTAAGTAGGTACCAATAGGTACATGATGACTGAGTGACGCTCTATTAAATATTTTATCTAAAAAAATAGTCAAATCATTTCTCCCAGCCCTGCGGAAATGCATTGAAATCCTACATTTAAAATCGCATTATTATGGTAACCTACCTAGTACCTACATTTGGCGTCTAGATCGGATCGAACCTCCATTGTCTACAGGCAACTGCAACGAACTGCGATGGCTTCTCGCCGTTTTAGAAGCAATGTTATATTATTTGAGATTGGGTTATATACAAATAAGAAATTTCAAGTCCGCCTAGTAAATAAAGAAGTTTATTGAGTAGTGACTGAGTTTCTTGCGCTGCTTCTTCGCAGCACTGGGCCATTTATTGTCCCGAAGCAGTAGAGTTAATACTGGGACGTATAAAATGCTTTTTAAAAGCCTGCTTACAAAAATAAACGAGTTTATGAGTTTTTTTACAGCTAACTTTGGCCTATTAGCTTTGCCCTTTGGTTTTAGTTTATCACAGATATTTTTAAACTATTACTACAAAACCACGGTATCTAAACATCTGTATCACGCTTTATTTCTTAAAAAAATTCACTTGAAAGAAAATTCTGTTTCTTTTCGAATGTTTGCTTACTTATTTTTATAATGTTGCCAGTGCAGTATCTTTAACGCTTTACTTAAATAACTTCTTACCTAACCACTAATGCACTCAATTTGTAACACAACAACAGAAATTCTGTAAATGTATCGCTCGGTAACAGTAATTTGATTTTCATTATTCTATCCAGTAACGTTACACCAGACGTTCGTGCAATCGCCGCTTTATGAAGATACAGCCTGCGGGAATCGCGTGAAAGCCTCAATGAAAATAAAGGGGAACAAAAATCCACCTATCGTAGGGTGACTACTCGATTCCTCAGGGAAAGAATGTTTAGACTTATAAAAACAAAAGAGAGTTCAATTCAATCCCAACCAGTTTGGGTTGTTCTAGAACATTTGAATGGCCTAACAATTGACAGTTAACTGTCAAAAATGTCGTCTTTATAACATACTAGCGGCCGCCCGCGACATATGCGTTGACCCCGTTTTACCCCCTTAGGGGTGGAGTTTCGTAAAATCGGTTGTTATTGAATACCTACGTT